TTATTGGAGATAAGAGTTTCACAGACTTTCCTGCCCAAGCTAGCTTTGAACTGCTATCCTCAGATCTCAGCCTCCTGAGTAGCTAGGATTACAGGCGTGGGCCACCGGCACCCGGCTTTGCTTAGCAGTTTCTATGATACAGTTTGTTGGCCATCATATCGATTATAATAACTGTCTTGGATATAAATAGAATAGTCAATTATAGTTTGTTCAGAAAACAGGTTCTTGGTTATAAGATAGACATATCAGAAAAGATAGAGGGTTGAGGGCATGGCTCAAGTGATAAAGTGCTTGCCTAGCATGTGGGTTCATCCCTAGTGCCACCAAACAAAAAATAACTTCTAAGTGTTACACACATTTAGGTTTGGGTGACCGCTTGGGTCATCTACAGTGGCCCACTCTACACCAGGGACTGTTAGGACTGTCTTGGGATGTGGGAGTGCTTATGTGGCTTCTCTGGCAGGTCTGAGTCTCCCGCCTCAAGAAGAGTGACAACTAAGTGGCTGACCACTAAAGTGCATTCTCCTGCAGTCAGCCAGGGAGAAAGGCAGCAGTTGATTAAGTGCCTGCATGCAATCGATTCTGATAGCCTGGAAGTCTAGACAGGACTGGCCCTTAGTAATCTCCTCCCCAAGCTCATTTTATGAGTTTGTATTAGGGCCTCCAGAGAGGGCCTTGTGCTTTCACATGGCTTTTTCTCTCAGAACTGGCACTCTACCACTTGAGCTACAGTTGCACTTCTGGCTTTTTGCTGGTTACTTGGAGATAAACCACAGCCTCCCAATAGCTAGGTTATAGGCCTGAGCCCCCAGTTTCTGACTTAGGAAGGTTTTTTTTTTGCTTTTTTTTGTTTGTTTTTTGGGTCCGGTCGTGGGCCCGCGCGCTGTCCCTCAGCTCTTCAGCTCAAGGCTAGCGCTCTACCATTGGAGCCACAGTGCCACTTCCGGCTTTTTTCTTTTTGCTTATGTGGTGCTGAGGAATCGAACCCAGGGCCTCAGGCATGCAAGGCAAGTGCTCTACCACTGA